ATTACAACAAAGTCAAACGACAAAATTTTTTTTTAATTTTATTGAATGAGAGCAAAAAATGTCAGAAATAGCATCAAATTTTAGAATACGTTTAGATTTGTTCGAATTGGTAACCTTTGGCAAGAAGTATGGCCATCAAACGGCCAATGAAACCCTCACACGCTGCCCGAATCTTACTCTGAGATATTTTGGCCCATTCCCGGCGAAGCGCTTGCTTGAGGTGATCGACACTTTGGTATTTTTTTAGTGCAAACCTTGCTTTCCAAAATACTCCAGACACAATAGTCCGACGGATTGGTATCCAGAGATTTTGGTGGTCATTGTGCGCTGGAAATGAAGCGAGGAACCTCATTCTGTAGCCGTTCTTGGGTGGCGCGCTGAGTGCGATGGTGCTAATTCCTCTTGGAATGTCCAAGGTCTGCTGCCAAAATGTTTGCGAGCCCAAGGCTTTAATACAACCTCCAGAATATTTTCGATATAATATTTGGCATTTATTCTGATGCCACGGTCGATTAAAAGCGGAGAGCGACCATCGGCGGCCCACACCATCACCATGGCCGGGGCTTCTGCTTTTGAACGCTTATAAACAATATAAAAAGCTGTCACTGGAATAATAGCCAAAGCTATCAGAGGATTTGGTGCACAGAAAATCGGCGCATTTACATTAAAAAACCGAGGTGATCAAAACGAATCACTGCTGCGAATTTTGATCCAGAGGCATAATTAGGCCGTTTTTCTTCGAAAGTGAGTAGGGAGAGGGCATTACTTTATCGGGCTACTTTAAGTAAATTTGAAGTGGAGGATATTAAAACCGCACCCTATAACATCAACATATAGCGTTGTAGGGCATAAAAAATTAAAAGTAGCTAAATAAAAATAAACAAAAATTATAGAAGTTATTTTTTTTTATTTTATAATATATATCAAATTAAAACAATACTTTTTTCATATAAATTTGATATAATAAAAATTTGCTAGAGAAAAAATAGTAAGCTGATTAACAACTAAGCAATTATTTTCATATTAGTTCTATTTTTTAACTAAACATTTTATTTACAAACTAAAAATCTGCCAGAGAATCATTTAATACAAAGTTTAAAATAATAATTACAATGAAAAAATAAAAACGCTATTTTGATTCAAATTGCCTTAAAAAATAAATAACTTAAAAAATGCTCCCAAATATTTGCAAATGTATGTATAACAGGAACATTCTTCATACTTCCTTTGAAAAACTACAAATTTGTAAAGTTTTTTTGTTTTAAAGTTATATTTTATTATATTTATTTTTTAACACTTTCAGTTTTAAGTTTTTATTATAATAGAAGTTCGATTTTATTAGTTTTTTTTTTTTTTGTTTTACATAATTTCCTGAATTATTAAATAATTTATTTTATGAACTATACATCATTTGAATTCGATTTATTTCTATTCTTAGCTTTTTTATGGTTATATTGTAATTACAGTTAGCACAATTGTTGTTGCTATGACTTTCTTTATAATATTTAATTAAATTATTCTTTTTCGTATTACTGTTGTTTGTCTTGTTGTTATCATTTTTATTAATATTTTGCTTGCATTTGTGTTTGAATTTTTCATCTGTAAAAATACAAAAATAAATTAGAATTAGAATTGGGAATGTTGTTTGGGGGAGACAATTTGTAGATTTATAATTTTAAAAATACTAGTAGTTGAAACCATCAATCAATAGAATCCTTGATCCTGTGCAACGTCTTTGCAATAATCGGATCTTATGGGTTTCATAACGAAACGGTGAAAATGCATTGACCCAGAAATCGATATTAAGAAGATTACGTATGTCAATTTCTAAATATTACAAACAAATATACAAACACAATACCCTCCTAAACCATGATTTAGAGGCCCAGAGTATGAAAAATATTAAACCCTCTCGTTTTAACATTTAAAAACACTAACCTCGCTTGATACAAAGATACATTGCAACACATTTTGTACACTTTTCAAATATTAAAAAATATTTCAATAATTACCCAATTAAAAAAGACACAATTAGAACACATAAGACAAATAACATTTACTTTGGAGGCCAATAAAACATACTTTTTCGACATACATACATGTTAAACAAAAAAAAAAAAAAAAAAAAAAACAAAAACAATAATAATTTGGAAATATTATTTTTTGTTTTTTTTCCAGATAGTATCCATTTCAAATATTTTTTACAACAAATTTAAATGAAATACTATGTAACTTACATACTATTTCTTGTGTTTAGTTATGATTATTACTATTGTAATGAGATGGAAACAAGTCGAGCAAGATTATAAAAAAAGTTATCCAAAAAACATTTAGAACCAAGCTCGGCTATTTTGTACATCTGCAATTAAATGCAAGTTTAATTTGATGTCTTCTATAGCATTAAAAAAATGACCCTAAACAATTTTAAGAGCATGTGAAATAATTAGTCGAAGGAAGAGCCTTTAAATGAAATGTTGTAAAGATAACATCTATCCAATGTGAAGATGTGCACATAAAATAACAATACAATTGGTTTAGGCAATTAACTTCTACTCATTTCTATTATATATTGTTCAAAGTTATAGAACAGAGGAGGAATAAATGATAATGATATAAACAAGTAAAAAAGCTGTAAGTTAGGCCGGGCCGAACTATGAATACCATCCACCATTTGGAACGAATTTGGAAATTTTCAAAAAATAAATTCCGTTAGAAATTCTGTTAAAATCATAAAAGAGCCGAATATAGCCGTTATATTGGGGTCTATACGACGTGGACCTACATAGGCATTGTTTGTCATAAGCCATTACCATATTCGAATTCGAAACATGAAATAAACGGTGAATAATGTAGCTAAAATCATCAAAATACCTTATATAGGGAGGTACCGTTATATCGGACCTGGACCTGCACAGACAAACTCCTGTCACAGACTGGGGCCTGGGGCCCCCCGGGGCCTGTAAGAAGACGTGGACCTGCACTGACAATTTTCTGTCTTTAGCTATAGAGTCCATTACGAACTTCAAATACCAAATTTGAAGCAATTCCGGTGAATAATGTTGCTAACATCATCAAAATATCGAATATTGGGAGGTACCGTTGTATGGGGGCTATACGAAGACGTGGACCTACATGGCCCAGTTAAGAACTTAACTTTGAATACCCTCCACAATTTGGAACTAATTAGGACATTTTCTAAAAAAAAATAAATAAAATCCATTAAAAATGCTGTTAAAATCTTTAAAATACCTAATATCGGAAGGTGCGATATATGGGGGCTATACGATATCGTGGACCTATTTAGATAATTCTCTTCCAAGGGATAAAGTACTCACAAAAACCTCCTTGTGTGGATTTTCAGACCATTCCGTTGGAAAATGTTGCTAAAATCATCAAAATACCGAATATCGGGGGCTACCGTTATATGGAGGCTATACGAAATCGTAGACCTGTATAGATAATTATCTTTCAAGAGATAAAGTTCCCACAGGGAACTCCTTGCGTGAATTTTCAAACAATTGCGTTGAAAAATGTGACTAAAATCATGAAAATACCGAATATCGGGGGGTTTCGTTATATGGGGGCTACAGGATATCGTGGACCGATATATCCCATCTTCGAACTTGACCTGCCTGCAGACAAAAGACAGATCTGTGCAAAATTTATTTTGGAATTAATTTGTTCATTTCATTTTCATTTTGTTCAAAGTTATGGAACAAATGTTTCTGATAAAAATATATAAGGAGATGCTGGGAAAGGAGATAGAAGTGTAAGACATTTGTTAATAAATGGTTTATTTATGGTTAGGGATTAGATGTTTTAGAAAGCGAGCAGGTACTTTGTTCCGCCAAATAGAAAGAGCTGTGAATTAGATCCATTGCTTTCTCATGAACACCTTGCATAGCGAGCAGAAGTCCAAGGAACTATTTCTACATTTGGCCGTCATAAACAATAATCCTTACACCGACGAGGTGATATTGTTAATATAGCCAAATCCTTTGGTTGATACCTGGGCGCCTCAGCGAATATCAGAATATCAAATACCGAGTCCTTAACAAGAAATAACAATTATACAAAATGTTTCCACATGTTTGCATTGTATTCTTCGAAAGTTTAGTAATGGAATGTGAAATATCTTTGACATGACACTTGTGATACCGAGAGTATGAAAAACTTTAGTTTTGCTTGTCCATCAAATCGACGGTTCACAAGCATCAGCAACTTGAATTTTAGAAGAAGCTAAAGCCTACTGATGATTTCTAGCAACGTCAAAGGGCGAATTTGTATTCAAGCGGACATTGTTAAATGACGGCTTTACAATGTAATTCGTTGATTACACACAAGTGGCTATCGTTAGAGCACTCCAGCATTTAAATGTGAATAAATCTTTTGTGTCATCGCTCGTTACCGTGATACTGGTAGCGTAGCCCGACGTCAAGGAAGTGGACGGAAGAAAACAGCAACATCAGCAGAAATGGTTCGAAATGTAAAGAATCGACTTGATCGAAACCCGCGTCGTAGTAGCCGAAAAATGGCTCGTGAGCTGAACATATCGCAATATTCCATTCGGCAAATATTGAAAAATGAGCTCGGGGTAAAGCCATTGAAATTCCAAAAAGTGCAAAAACTTACAACGCAACAGAAAGAAAATAGACTCTCTCTAAAGAGCTAAGGAGCTGCTTCGCTTGGCCGAAAATGGTGAACTGCCGAATTTGGTTTTCTCCGATGAGAAAACATTCGTTGTCCAGCAGTTTTTAAACAAACAAGATGATCGTGTTTACTTGCCAAAGAGGTTAAGAACGTGGACCGATGTGCCAACCATCCTAGACGATATACAAATTGTTGTGCCAAATTTTAAAGATCGGCATTTAATAATATGGGCCTGAAGCTTGTCTCGACCGACAGACATTTATAGTCTGTGGGGTCTCCGACGAATTTACTGAGGTGTTACCACCTTTCTCTCACAGCTGTACAAGTACAAAAATTATAAACAAAGTAAATAAAATAAGAACGTAAACCATTTTTCTTTTAAATATAAATGATTGGGTGTGTGTATTTTACTAAAAATTTTACTTAATTGATATAAGTAAAAAAAAATTAAACCATTTTGATGGACAAAATATGAATAACTTACAGCCTATTGTTGTATTAAATCTAAACTATAAAACTAAGCAATATGGATCACAATTAAGTAAATGATAAGGATTGTAATAAAAAATAAAATATAGATAAAAACCAAATTAAAAAATAAAAAAAAAAAGAAATTAAAACCAATAAATTATTTTCGAAAAGTCGAACGATGGCAACAAAACAAAATGTTTGCAATCGAACACTTTGGCAGTAACATATTTTTCTAAAAAAAAAAAAAAATAAAAATTTATCAAAAAAAAAAAAAACTGAGGGATGGGGTTTTGAGGAGGACAAATATGAGGGAATTTGCTAAAATGCCTTAACCTTTAAAATCTTGGTTGTTTGTTTTTTCTTCTTTATAACAACAAATAACTTTGAACTTATTGAGAACATTACATGCTAGCTATGTTGTTTGATTTTAGAAAAAAAAAGAAAACATATTCTCTTAGAATAATAACATTCACACATTACTCTTAAAATCCCAAAGGGTTTGCGATTCTATGATGTTAGATGATTTTTTTTTTTGTTTCCAAAATTTTACTTTTTTTGGAAAGGGCGGAGGTGTTTTTTTTTTCTCTCTCGTTTTTTCTTAGTTTTTTTCATAATTATTTATAATTAAATATTTTTTTTAATATTTACTTTCTTTAATATTTACATATTTTTTTAATACTATGCAAATAGTTTTTCGCTTTGTTTTATTAAAGGTCAATGAGGAGTTAAGAGATCAGTACTTTTCTTAGTTGTTGACGCATTTGCATTTGTATTTGTGGTGGTAACCGTAGCTGTAAGGCTTAAAGGTAAAGATGAGGCAGTATGGATGTTATGGTTACTACAATTACTACTATTACTATTTGTTGTTGTTGCTGTTGTTTGGTTATTACTTAACAAACGTAACGGAGACATATTGGCAGCTGTAATGGTTACATTGTTGTTAACCAGATTACGGGCAAATGAGGGCGCAATGAGCGCACAGGAGCCAAATGTATGTTTGGGTATGGCTTGTGAGAAAAAAATAGACGACGACGCTGTCGATGACGAACTTGTGGATGATGATGATGATTGTGTGGTGGAGGATAGCGGAGGAACTAGGGAGTGTGGCATGATACTAGGAGCATTCGAAATACTATCCAAATTGCTGGGAAATGTTAGAGCCGACGTTTGACTACCATGCAAAGTTGTTGATGACAATTTGTGTTTGGGAGAAGCTCCCAGGGAAAGATTTAAAGGTTCTTTGGCAGGTTCATCCAAAGAAAAAATACCCCCAGCAGCAGCAGCAGTGGTACTACTGCTGCCATATGTACCAACTGCGGCAACTGCACTGCAGTTTGAGGCAAAGGAGGAATTTGAAATTGATAGCGAGGCAGGTGGTGAAGCAACAGAAGATGCAGCAGCTTCCGTGGAAGACGTCAACGACAAATTCACAATTGAAGACTCCCCCGAGGAGCTGTGCATTGTGCTATTATTGGTAGAAGTGTTGACAGATGAAGATTCATTCAACGAATCATCCAAAAAGCTATTGGCATTTGCTGTTGAAGTTGGTGGAATGTCTATAGTATGGGTCTCATTGCCAAATATCAAACGTAGACGTTTCTTTTGAGGTGTCATTTGATTGTTTGTATTCGATGTAAGTCCACCAACTGGCACTGCTGCTGATGGTGGGGGAGTGGTTTCTTTGGATTCTACTATTCGCTCCATATGCTGTTCCAGCTCTTCGATCGACGAGAGATTACGCCTGTGATGATGTCGCCGATGATGATGATCTTTGGATTTATGTCGTTTCTTTCGTTTATTATGTGTAGTGCCACCAGTTCCCCTAACATCTTTCTCATCAAAATCTAGGCCATTTTCTGTTATGCCTTCCATACGCAAAATTTCATATTCTACCGGCTCGGAAGAGGATCGGCTACATGTTGATGAGCCACCGGTAACACTGCTACTTTCATCACTTAAACTGGTGCCAGATTCAATTACCTCATCGAGAATGGGCGACCGTTTCATGCGTAAAGTTAATTTCAACCGTCTTTCGGGTGTCTTTAGTAAAGGTTCCACCGTCGAGCCAGCATTCATTTCCCCACCACCACCACCTATTGCACTAACATTTGCCAATGGCAGTGGAGTTGAACTTGTAGCAGTAAAGTTTACATCGACGATGTTTGGTAACTCACAGATACTTTCAGAATGCTTGCGTTTACGTGTGCCACCACCACCTACATGATGGTGGTGAGTATCTGTTATCACAGTCTCTTGATTAGACGAACTGGTACGGCGTGTCACCACGTGACGCCTTAAACGTTGACACAGCGGCACCTCCTGTTCAGTTTCGTTTTGTTCAGCAACAACGGCCGCCGCATGGACTTTTTGAGAATGTCTAAGACTATTTTCAGTACTACTGTTATTACTACAAAAACTACTACTATTACCAACAAATGTGTAATCATTGCCTTTGGCAACTTCTTCAAATGAATCTATCAAATTCTTTTTAAAACTTGGACTACTATTTTGCGCATTATTTGCCCGAAGTTTATTGTCCACACAATTTTCCCCAGTGCTGATTTGTTGTTTAATTTCTTCTCTGTTTTTGTCCTCAATCATAATTACATCGACCTGCTCCTTTGTATGGTTCTCCACCACAACAACACTATGATCGTCGTCATCGACAATGTCGTTGATCGTTTGAGTTCTACAATTACTACCATTACTACTACTGCTACTGTTGCTAATGTTCCTAGTCTCACCCTTTGGAATAGTTTGTTCGAAATTTGTTGCAGTTTCGCTACTTTTGACATTATTATTATCCAAATGATGCTGATGCTGATGATGGTACTGTTTCTGTTTATGATGTGAGTGGTGATGATGATGATGATGTACATGGTTATTATGGTTATACATTTTATGATTATTGTTGGCCACATTACTGTTCGTGTGGGCTTTTGAAAGATTTGAATGGGTTTCTTCCGCTGTTGCTGATGAAGTGATATTGGTGGACTCGCTTTCCATGGTGGTGGCGGTAGCTGTTTCCTGATGTTGGTGATGATGATGATGGTGCCTTAAGACTCGGGATGTCGTTGTGTTATGTAAAACGGCACCATTACGCGTCAAACGCCTTTGTGGTAGCGGCTGCTTTTTTCCCAATGTGTTTTCGTCGGAATGCAAACCAGGCTCCAAATGATTTTCTTCATGTTTTGATGATACCTTTTTTAATGTATCTACTACCATTCCCTTCTGAACTATGGCGGAAGAACATCGTGCTATTGGGGTTTCCATATCATCTGTCTGTTCAGCTTCAGATTCTGAGATTAGTATGACTGTATCTTCCACTGCCAAGTTTTCCGATGAATTAGATGAATTGCCCACAGCTGCAGCGGCAGTTGAACGTGTTTGCCGTGTCGTTTTTGTTGTGGTTTGAGCATTACTGACCGACACCTGACCTCGCGCAGATGGTTGTTGTGTCGTTTTTGCCACATTCGTATTGGCTATATTTGCTACCGCAACTGTTGCCGCCGTTCTTCTAAGATTTCTTCTGGTGGTTGTAGCAGCGCTACTTTTGGGTTCATCGGCTGTTCCTGGTTTTGATGATGTCCCCCGTGCAGCAGTGGTATTTCCCAAACTTGCAAAATCCTCCGTTGACCCAGATGATATTGTACTGCTTGTACTATTCACTCGTGCAGATTTTCTTAATGTCTCCCTATATCCACCAACACGTGGTAGATTTGCTTCTGCAGGTTTACTTTGCTGTGTCGCCGTTACATTTTCTGTATTCTCCGATTGGTTGGTTTGCTGATGATTTTGCATATTATTCACATTATGGGCCGAAGGTATATGACGATGTTTCATGCCATTGGCGGCCATTATCATCTCAGCATCATATTTGGTCATGCCTTTTTGTCGCAATTCCACCATTGTTAAGGGTGTTACAACCACATTGTTATTTTTGTTCAAGGCCGTGTCAGAGCTTACATCCACATGTTTACCCAAGCTATTGTTGCAGTTACCAACAATATTCCCCGAAGCATTGCTATCACTTAATGCTCCATTTGTGAGTTCGGTATTTGTAGAGTTGGTTGAGTTGGCTCTACTTTTTATTCGATTTATACGATTATCGGTTTCCCGCAAACGATATCCCCCGCTGGCGTTAGCATCACCCACAACGCAAGCTCCATTTAAACCCAGCGCCAGCGCAGAATCAACACCCAATTGGCTATTGCCATTTTTGCCCGCAAATGCGCCTGTTCCTCTACGTTCGCAGGTTTCACACTCACAATAACAATTTGCATCGCCGAAAAAGTCTTCGCCGTAGAAACAAGTGATCTCCTCGCCAACTTCAATGTCACGCAACACTTTTACACAAGCCGTGTCACGGCCAGTTGCCACAAACTTGCAATTGGCACGGCAATCGTGATTAATATAGGCTGCAGGTCCCAGCCATAATTGGGCACAGTTCTTACGACAACTGTACATTACGGAGAAGTCATTTTTTCCGGTATGCAAGAGGGCAGCCTCTTCGGCTTCCGTTAGCTCAGCTATACAACCGACAAGGCATTCGATCTTATCATTTTTTTGCCAACGTTTTGTGGCACATATTTTTGCCCCCTTTTGTCCTTCCAGGGAGTAACGATAACAGGCTTCTATAACAAAACCACTATCTTTATCAAACACTCGTAAATAGCGAATTATCTGAAATTATAAAATAAAATGTTTTATCCGTTGTGTCCAGTTTCAAGGAAACATTAGCATTTTATACACAAAAAGTGTTTAATTTACAAAACTTGAAGTTGTGTATAAACCGCTTCAATATCGTTTCAAATTATTATCTTCACTTACATGATCATGCAATTTTTTAATCGCCATTTTATTTTTATTACGAAAACTACGCGGTAACCATGGACCACTGAAAATCTTCTTTACAGCCACTTCGTAATTTTGTGTTTGTATAAATTCATCGACAATTGATTTCAGTTGGGCTGTATCAACCTTCAAGGGACGATAACGTATATTCATTTTGTGCGTCTGAAACCCCAAATGCGGATCCAATATTAACGATGTAGCTAAATCATCATTTTCGGATAACTCCTTGGGAGTCATGCCGGTGGATTGTGAGAGTCGAGATACAATACTATGTGTGGACCCATTAATACCACTAAGCGGCAAGTGATAACCATTGTTGCCATTGCTATGATGATTTGTATGGCCATGATTGTTGCTGGTGGAACTGTAATGACCATTTGCAGACATTGAATGTGTTTTGTTGTTGGTTGCAACAATGGCACTGCTCAATGTGGTTAAATTAATGCCGGCAGTGGCAGTAGCAGCCGCAGTTGAGTTGGCGTATTTTGTTGCAGTTTCACTACGACGGCTGTGATGTGAACCAACAACCATTCTGTACTACAGTCTGAAAAGGAAATAGAAAGATTAATTTAAAATTTTTAATCTTTACCAAGTCAAATATTAAGAGAAGCAGTTTATCTTTCATTATTAACACTCATTTTGATTTCATTTACTTTACATCCGATAAATAATGATAAGGGGAAATATGTCCTAACAAAATCATTCACTTTTCCTGTTGTCTTGTTTTATCATCCCAACTGTTGATATTCTAGCATGCGAACTTAAATTTTTTTAACTTTATTGCACTGAACGTGCTTAATATCCTAAAAAGGCGACTGAACGTACCTTACACGTAATATAACTAACTGAACACCCCCTTTAACAAAAACAGCTGGCAGTAGCCAGACGACGTGACCAGCTGTTAAAGAGAACGATGCGTAAAAGCAATAGAAACAAATTAACCCAGGTTATGAAGATAATGGAGAAAATACAGATATACGTATAATAAACCGAAATATCATAATAATTTTAAGGAAACCACATTTTTCACTATCATAACTTTGTTTCACAAAGTTTTAGAACATCAATGGTTTTTCCCCATATTTTTTTTTTCTTTTTTTTCTAAATGTCTTTTCACTCTTGCTTTTTAAAAGTAGATACAAAAATTATTGATTGACTTCACACTCCACTTCTTTTTTGTGTGTACATGAGAAATGGACAATGTAAAAGACATACAAGACAAAACACATACGCAATGCAAAAGCCCAACATTGGACCGATTAGACATATGTAACCGTTACGTTGTCGTAATTTACTTGACACCGAAATTGATTTTTAAGTTATACTTCTACATAAGAGCTTTACGCCGGATAATGTTCTTTATGAGGGTTAATTTAACATACATTCAATGTAATTGGCAATTTAAATCCGTAATACCGTAAACTGTAAACGTATTATTAATCGGTAAATAATAAATCACACAAAAATCTTCGACCGACAATAAAGTAAAACATCAAATATTAAGATAAAAGCTTAATTAGGCTCATTCTCACTTGTTTCTACTGTTGATTACTTCAATCAGCTGATGCCTTATGCCACATTTACGATACAGCAACGATTCCACTAACTCAACTCGACATGTTTACAACCATAAAAAAATAATTGGCCAATATTTGTTTTTATCTCATTTTATCTTCATTTACATTAACTTGACAAACATTTTCTTTCGAAATTTGTATTAAAGTTGTCTCTAATCACTCACGTAAAATAAAACACACAAAGAAAGAACGTTAAGAAAAAAAAGATGTAACCGAACGAAGAGAAACATATGAACAAAGAAAAACCCTAAAAATCAACAAAATACGAAAGAACTCATACACAGGTACACACTGGTTGTCTCTTTCTAACACACGAAAAATACTGTATATGCCCATCGTTTTGTATGGATTCTTTATGTTGAGACGAATTCGAAAAAAGTAAAAAAAAACACGATTGCACGAAAAAGAACATACGCTCATTAAATACATATGAAAATGGCGGCGTCGGTTCGACTTCTTTTTCTAGGATATGTTCCTTTAAGCTTGGTTTTAACCAAATTTAGCGTAGGGACACAAGTCTATTTACCTTTTATCAAATATATCCCAACAGCTTTAAGCGTTACGTTCTGCTAGTTGTTAACAATCAAACTTGCTCTCTTGATTGCTATTGTTGTTTTTGCTGTTGCTCTTGTTCGCTTGATAGGTTTTTTCTCAGACCTTTTCTGCATTTATGTATACATTTCTTCAATTTTCCATAGTTCCGATTCTGTTTGCAGTCTCCATTGTAACAAATAAGCTATGGTGTTTTATTTTGGCTTCATTTTGTGAAGATATTGCAGTTTTCCGTGTTATCTGGCTCCCTAGCTGTGTTGTTTCGTTTCTGTCGCCCGTCTCAACAAACACAAAGAAAACAAGTCAAACCAAATAAGTCTTTGGCTTAGATGAAAAAAAGCCTTCTGCCAGAATCAGAAACAAAAAATATTCTGCCGTTCTGCTTTTCCGAGCGAATTCTCTTCCAAAACTGACAACGGCGTCGCAGTTTTGCGACTGTCGATGGGGTTATGACCAATTGATGCCCGTCTCAACGCCTTATCCAATGGCGTCGACGTCGCTGCCGTACTATGTCGGTCGCTTTGTCTGTCCGGGTATACTTCTGTCTGGCTGCCTACTTCTTCTTCTTCTTGTGTCGTCAGACTGTGGCGTGCAAGAAGTTGCGTTACTATATTTTCTCGGCGATTTTCTTCCTTGCTCATGCGTTTTCTCGCTAAATATTAGTTCCGATAATTTTCTAGACATCCATTGTATGGCTTTATTATTAAAAATCCGGTTAAATTAAAACTTTGCACGGTTAAATTCACTAATCAATGACAATTTAGTTAGATTTTCTTCAGTCGATTGGCTACACACACATTTCAGCTTTTTGCAAGAACTATGAGCAAGAGGTCCGAGGCAAGCGATTGCTTTAGTTTAACGGCGTTTAAAAATTATGGGAAGACGGCATTGAAGAAAATGACAAATTCCTATTACACTGCGTTTAGAAAAAACAAGCCAATTGAAACACAAATCAACTGGAAGATTTTAAAGAACACTCATGGTTGAAGAATACAGCTAGTCCATCGACACAGCTGCTGGGCTAATGAACTGTCAAACCAATATTAAAATTGAAAATTTTGAATGAAAGATTATTCAAATTCGTTTAAATTCTTGAAAAATGCATGTCATAACAACCTCCGATTGACGTCGTATAAGAAAACATATAAAAATTCTACTTATTTTTGAAAAATCATTTTAAAACTTTTGACATATCAATGCCCCCAAGCGTTGTTGCATCTACCTATATTCGTCTACCATGAGAATACTTTTGATATGTATACATTTTATTATTCAGTAGATTAAAATTGCCGCTCAACCAAGTACATCCAAATAACAAGTTATTATCGTTTTGTTATGTATCCTGCATTTACAAAATAAAATGTTTTAAATGTTATTTCTTTGTCACTCACATATTTTCATGTTTTTCTCTTCTATAGTTTTGTTAGAGATATTTATTTATTTTTCCTTAAAATTGGTTTATCTTTAGATGTTATCAATACAAAATAAAGTTTCAGAATTTCAAGCGCGTTCATTCTGCTATTTCTACTTTAAATGTGACTTTAGTTCTTATAAAATTTGTTAGTTGGGGTAATTTATGCATGTACCTTACTTATTGCTCCATACTGCCATACTTTGTAGAGCGACATCTGTACGCTATTTTACCATTTACTTTCTTGTCATTGAATAATTTCTTTATTTTCAAAAAAGAAATTTGTCGGCAGTAAATTACTTCGAATGGCTGATATTATTGAAGAAGTAAAAACCGAAATTTTTGGTACTTTCAATAAATTCAAAGAAAAACAAAAATACGACTTAATTAATGCTGCAAACGGTATTGCGTGCCAATGTAAGCATACATCTCGCATAGCACTAGTTGAGGAAAGAATAATGTGGTACGCATTTATTTCAATTATTTCTAAATTTTTATTTCTTAACAAAATTCTATAAACTATAGGTTCAAGCGAATGTCATGGCTCTATCAAATTCTTTTGTTTGTCCTTAGCATCCTCTTGATGTTAACTTTCTGCGGATTTTGGTTATTACGTCAATACAACATTTCAAATATATTTGGAGTTCATGCTGCATTTTGGCCTTACAATGCATGTACTGTGGCTTTTTGATAATTTAAGATAAATATAACTATCTGCTGTCGACAGATTTTCATAGTTAAAAAACTCACGATTGGTTTACAAGTCCTATAGGTAATTTATGACCGTCTATGCAGAGTTGTTTGATCCATGGACTAAACAAGGCCTGTCAGTCTTAAAAAATCGAAAACTTCCTAAAAAGTCTGTTCCAGGGAGACATAGAATCAAAATTTAGGACCCGGTTATAACGAGAACATTTTTGGTGTGGCAGCTACTGATACCCAATAGCCACATAATTTACTTTCTCAACACAATTGATAACAAAGAACATATCTGCGTTACTATTAGGATAAAAATCGCAATAGCAATTCTGCATCTTTTTCCTACATCGCATAATAATTAGTAAAGTGGCACAGAGTGTAGTTATTCGAATCATACCTTTTCCCACAGTGAACATTCTCTATGAGACGTCTATATAAAAAACTTTAAATAGATTCATGACGCATAATATAATTACTTTAATATTATAATTTAACAGTTAAAAACATAAACGTTTGTATCTTGATCATCTCAAGTATTCTTTATCCTTGCCAAAACAAATGTTCTCTCCTGTCATACGTTTTAAATCAAGACACCACTATGCCACTGCACCTCAACAAAAACTGCGGCGAAGTATAGGGCAAAATAAGTTTTATAACGGCGTTGACAAAGCATTATTGGCATTGACCTCTCTAACACCAATTCAACGATTTGACAAAGGAAAAATATTCACGGAAATTTTCAGTGAATAAATTTTAATTTAGAGGAATATATCAATTTTATTGTAAATTCTCTTTATATACAGCACAAAGTCTTTTGCAAACACAAGGTAAGTGATTAAATTGATCGAGTAGATGCTATTATTTCTGTCCAGAATATTCTAATATATTGAAAGATTTTCTGTGGCCTGGGAAAAAAATGAATTCGCCGTTTGTGTAAAAAAAAAAAATCGGTTTGGTTGAGGTAAAAATACACAAAAACAACAACATTCACGACATATTGTTCAATATATGGGTATAAATAAGATCTATTTTAACCGCAATTTGTAACAACAAAGCTAAACGAGTTGTGAGTCAATTTATTTTTTTCTTCTTTTTCAGAACTTGTGTGATCCCCTTAACACCAATTGCCCAATTGCACTTACCAAGCTACAAACTTAAAATGCCAAACATTAAATTGCAATCGTCTGACGATGAAATATTCGACACCGACGTACAAATTGCAAAATGTTCCGGAACCATAAAAACCATGTTAGAAGATTGTGGAATGGAGGATGGTGATAATGCCGTTGTGCCTCTTCCCAATGTAAATTCGGCCATTTTGCGTAAGGTTCTACACTGGGCCAATTACCACAAAGACGACCCCCAACCACCAGAAGATGATGAAAACAAAGAGAAGCGTACAGATGACATTTCCTCTTGGGACGCTGATTTTCTTAAGGTGGATCAAGGCACACTATTCGAATTGATCTTGGCCGCCAATTATCTAGATATTAAAGGACTCCTAGATGTTACATGTAAAACTGTGGCTAACATGATCAAGGGCAAGACACCAGAAGAAATACGAAAAACATTTAATATCAAAAATGATTTTACACCAGCCGAAGAAGAACAAGTGCGTAAGGAGAACGAATGGTGTGAAGAGAAGTAATCCGTTTATGCGAGCTGCGTTCGACTTAGTTTTTATGAATGCAATTAAAAGCTAAACATATGTAACTACTAATTATTAAATACCTAAGAAGCTATGTCTTAATATATGAATTTTTTGTTTTTTTACTCTACACACTTGTCACAAACGAAGAAAACACTCATATACATTAGTATATACACCATTCAATTGAACGCCAATGTTAAGAAAGCGTGGATAGCACACGAAGTCCGCATCCCTTATAAGGTAGAACATGATCTTCATGCTAATAAATAAAGGATTTGGTCTTCTTAACTTACATGTTATCTTAATGTTTAAGTAATTCTTTATGAAATCCAAAGCTAACAAAATAATTAACGGAGAACTTTTGAATTATGATATTTGCTTCATTATAACTATTAACTAAGGAATTCGATTTTTAAATAAATATGTATTCATTTTTAAATTGCTTGCCTTTTTTGTTAATTTATTGGACAATTGCCAGAAGCATTGCAATAACTACCAATGCATCCAGAAAAAGTCTCAGTTTCGTGTGGTTTATGTTCTAGTGGTTGGACCATACTTCTTCAACTTATAAATAAGAGAAATAAATGGACCCATTTCAAATTTCGAATACGAAATTTGTAACAAATAGGGAGAATGATGTTAAAATCATCAAAATACCGAATATCAAAAGGTACCGTTATATGGGGCCTATACGAAAACGTGGACCGACATTGCCAATTTACGAACTTAACCTGCCTACTGCGATATACACATGTATGCAAAATTTTAGAATTCTATATCAATTCGTTCGAAAAGTGGCGTGATTACAACAGACAGGCGGACGTCGCTAAATCGTTTTAGAATTTTACGCTGATTCAGACTTTATATACAGGGTGAGTTAAAAAACTGCAACAAAGCCAAACGCCATAATTTTTATTTTTTTATTTTTTAATTTTATTGGATGAACGCAAATATATCGGAAATAGCATCAAATTTTAGAATAAGTTTAGATTTGTTCGAATTGGTCACCTTTGGCACGAATTATGGCCTTCAAATGGCCAATGAAACCGTCACACGCTGCCCGAGTGTTGCTCTGCGGTATTTTGTCCCATTCCCAGCGAAGCGCTTGCTTGAGGTGATCGACACTTTGGTATTTTTTAGTGCAAACCTTGCTTTCCAAAATACTCCAGACACAATAGTCCAACGGATTGGTATCCGGAGATTTTGGTGGCCATTGTGCGCTGGAAATGAAGCGAGGAACCTCAGTTTGTAACCATTCTTTGGTGGCGCGTGCTGAGTGCGATACAGAATATTTTCGCGATAATATTCGGCATTTATTCTGATGCCACGGTCGATTAATACGACCGGAGAGCGACCATCGGCTGTTATGGCTGTCCAAACCATCACCATGGCCGGCGCTTGAGTTCTGGTGGCCAACCGAAGGTGCACATTTTCAGCTGACCTCTTCGGCAAGTAAACACGATCATTTTGTTTGTTTATAGCTGGATAACGAATGTTTTCTCATCGGAGAAAACCAAATTCGGCAGTTCGCCACTTTCGGCCAAGCGAGGCAAATCTTTAGCACTTTTGAGTCTATTTTCTTTCCGTTGCGGTCTAGGTTCTTGCACTTTTTGGAATTTCAATGGATTTACCCCGAGCTCATTTTTCAATATTTGCCAAATGGAATATTGCGATATGTTCAGCTCATGAGCCATTTTTCGGCCACGACGTGGGTTTCGATCAAGTGGCGTCTTTACTTTTCGAACCATTTCTGCTTATGTTGCTGTTTTCTTCCGTTCACTTCCTTGACGTCGGGCTACGCTACCATACAGTTAGCGGTAACGAGCGATGGTACAAGACACAAAAGATTTATTCACATTTAAATGCTGGAGTGCTCTAATGATAACCACATGAGGTTTTCCAGCCAAATATAAAGAAATCACACTATCACGCTTGAATTCCATCACGAATAACTTTTTTTCTGGAAAATTCTCACCAAAATGCTTTTGTACGTTTGTAAACAATATAATGAGCTGCAGTTTTTTCATCTCACCTTGTACTTTGTAGGAGCTATCACAAATATTTCGAGGAGT